GGGGGGGGAGGCTACACTTCAGCTGGCCTTTCGAGGGTCTTCTCCCCCTCCCAATAAGGCGAGGCCCGCATAGAGCAACTTTAGGTGTGCAACTGTTTTCTCGCCTCTATTTATGTAAACAATGAAAAAATAAGCACCGCACGCACAGGCAACTCGAGATTGTGGAGACGCAACTGTTGCTCAATTCTCCTGTACATACCAAACTGACACACAGCACCCACAGCAACCAAACTGTCTCCGGACTCGTCAAGGCCCCTCCAGTCCCCATATTTTTTCACTCAGTGCAACAGACTTGATAGGTAGGCTACACACAATACATGTACATTGTCTCGCTTCCGCAAGAAAAGACAATGGATAACGATCCAATTTGGATTGAAAAATGTATTTCTATCATTGAAAAGAAGCCTGTCTTCTACAACAAGACCTCAGATGGGTATGCCGACAGAGACAAGAAAAAGAAAGCTTGGGTCGGGGTTTTTGAGGCTGTGATTGAGAACTAGGAAGATCTGAGTCCAGAGGAAAGACAAGTCAAAGGTGAGTAGGTCGAGAGTATAAACTTTCTTTCCTATAAAAGCCATGAAAACGATTTAAACACTGTTAATGAGGAAAGGGGCGGAGTTACTGTCCAGACCAAACTTTTTATGTACCTGGTAATATCTAAATAAAAAATACATTATTTTAATTTTAGATGGATATCTAAGCCAAATACAAATGTATACATATGCAATGTTTTGCATGCGATCTAGATCTAGATAAATCTTTGGCTATACAGGAAAATGTAAAATAAACTGGCATGACTGCTCTGGTACATTCATAGCTATTCATATTGCCATGGGACTGATCCTTGGGGAGAAGTACGTTGCGAAATAGTCTCTTGTTGCTGCTGCAGTTGTGGAAGCACACACATTTGTGGCGTTCGTGCTCTGTAGAGGGCAATCATAGAGCATGTCTTCGAATGCTACACCGTCTCTTTTGCGGACAAAGTTGTGAAGCAAAGTTGTGAAGGACACAACACCGGCTTTAAGGTGTGGTCACAAAACTCATCGTTGACATCCAGGGCTCGACGAAGAATTCTCCATTTGTTTGAGAGAATGCCAAAGGAACATTCAACCATTCTCCTCGCACGAGTCAGTCTTGGGTTGAACATTTTTTGTATGCTACCTAAGACCCTTCGTGGGTAGGGAAGTAGATCTACAACGTGTTCTGACAAAGCGAAGGCCTTGTCACCAACCAGGACAAACGACATTGCAGGTCCGTCAACATCAGGTAGCTTGGTATTCTCAGGAATGCTCACTTGATTGCTTTCCCGTCTCTCACCAAACATCGACCTCTTGAAAATATGTGAATCATTGCAGCTTCCATATGAGCCAATGTCTACTGATATGAAGCATTACTCAGCATCTACGACAGCCAAGGGAACAATTGAGAAAAAGTTTTTTGTTGTTGTAGAACAAAGACCCACTGCAAGCTGGCGTTATAACCCTGATATGCTTTCCAACATTTGCCCCAAGGCAGTTTCGAAACTGTGTACTTTTGTAGAAGTTGTTTGCAATATTCAGTCATGACCCTTTGTCTCTTGGTGGCATGATCGGGGTAAGGCAAGTCCAAAGTGCATTACATGTTTTTCTGACGATTTCGCGGATGGTGGTGGCACCCAGCGAGTATTCATAATGTAGTGCATTGAGGCTACTTCCAGTAGCCATGTACCTGGGCGTGATGAAGAAAACAAAGACGTTATATATACAATAGTATAACGTTAACATCGCAAAGAAGTTTGCCTGTTTGTTTATTGAATACCCGCTTCCATTATATGCGGTGATATCGGGGATTCTGGAGGACTTTTTCTTTAATTTTCCAAGACAGCCATATAAATTGCCAAGGGATCGATGACGTGCGTCACAGATACATGGGACCTCCGAGTTCACTGTCCATCTCCGATAGGACTAAGTGCTTGATCCTGCCTACACAGGACCAGGGGATGTGAATTTCTCGAAAACAAGTAAATTTTTCACCCACACACGAACAAACACGGGCCGCTCTGGTGGGAAAAAGAGAGTGGCCAGCCTCTTAACCACATCGCCACCATGATGCCCCCCTCGCCAAATACACACATGTAGTTGTCATGATGATGATGATGATGATGATGATGATGATGATGATGATGATGATGATGATGATGATGAAATAAATGAAAATAATAAATAAATGAATTAATTAATGAGTCTGCTGGGTCCGTTGCAGCATTACTGAACATTTCATTTTAAATGTACTTAATCTTTTGCCAATTCCAGGTAATGAAGTACGAGCGCGTTGGAAGAACCTGAGAACATGCATTGCGAGGGAGCTCAGGGCACAGAAGAAAGGGGTGTCAGGCCAGGCAGCTGATGTTTCTTCTTCCCACCATAGAAGATAGAAAGACAGCGAGTGACCAAACTGTTCATGAAACCACTACTGAAGCCGAACAGAAGGTGCGCAACGAAGATGAAGCCCAATCTAGACCTAGGGCCCAATCCTCCCAAAACCGGCGCTCACAAGCAGATCCGTCTCTTTCTCAAAAGAGACAAGTATCCTACGAGGAGACTCTTTTCTCAATATTCTGCAAGATAAGCGGGAGGAGATAGATGAAGATAAGTCTTTCCTTTTGTCTCTTTTGCCAGCAATGAAAATAATAAATGAAGAACACAAATGCGATGCCAAAATTGAAATGCTTCACATAACCAACAAATATCAATTTATGGACTCTCACCCCCCTGTGAAAAATAGGTCACCAGTCGGAGAAGCTGATCGTGAACTCGACCCCCCCCCAGTCGGTATCGATATGGGTTAATGAGTCAGTCGCATAGGAAATCAAGTACTCACTACTATTGCAACTGTGCGGCATTCACCCATTTTGTGACGTAAGCCTAGTCCAGACATCCTCTGTGCTCCACACCATGGCATAGACTGAGCAGTCTCCCCCCTCCCCCCACACACACGCACTTTTTTTCTCTAATGAAGCTTGCGTCACTGTTATGATGTCACTGGGCTAAAACAGATTTGTGTGCGTGTACACTTGAATGAAGTTTTGGACGGGTCATGTCAATTACTGATGTCTTGTGTATTGTTTTCACCTGTATTGTGTGTGTGTGTGTGTGTGTGTGTGTGTGTGTGTGTGTGTGTGTGTGTGTGTGTGTGTGTGTGTGTGTGTGTGCGCGCGCGCGGATAAATCATTGATATCTAACAAAAAATAATAAGTAGATAACCTCTTAAAAGTCCTATTCCTACCTCCCCATGGAGAGCAGGGATAACTATAACATTATACTTCAAATCAAATTAAGAACACATACTACACACGCACGCAATGCTCAGAGATATAATGAATGATCATTTACCAGTTTCAATACCCTACTTTTATCATTTTAAAAACTATTCGATTACAAAAGGCGGGCGAGTTAGGAATATAGGATCAAACTTTCCGCACGCAGGGATGTGACGCCAAGGGGGACCAATTGCATTGCGTCCAAGTCCAAACGCCTAACCCTATACATTCTTACTAACCGTTCTCTGACCGTCTAGGCCTAACCGCATATGCAATCAGCACTATCCACAGGTGGGAGCCTACTCAATGAGAATGTTCGGCCCGACCGCGAATTGGCAATTTGCCGACAACACTTCCACCACATCTCCTGTAGACCCAGTTAATTCTGCGAGTAGTGCATTCTACAAAAGTAGTAGATCTACACCGTCAGCTACCAGCCAGCGGACCCAGTCGGAGAGGGACCCATCGTCACCAGCTTCATAGATCTTTACTACATGTACATGTATTCTTTACTCTGCAATGATTTTCCGTTACTAAATTTTAACTTCCATTGTCCTCTGTAGTTCAACAGTTCCCTGTTTTCCGTTTTGTGAAACCATGAAAGCTGCAATAACACTTTTTGCGTTTCATCGTCCATTAAAGTGTTGACGTTGGTTTAATAAATTTGGATTTGTATATCATGTATTTTATTCTTGTCCTTCCCTGTCGTACGTTCCCATTGCCACGGCGTTACAAGTGCATGAAACGTCCTTTATACTAACTAGCGTATGGCATGAGCACTCAGCTGTCCACGAGTTTTTCCTGTCTACTCCTCTCTCTATGAATCTTTCTTAAGTCTGACATTAAACAAGACTCGTAATGACAGAATATGTACATGTTCAAGTTTTCCTCTGCCTTTCCCTACGTTATTGTTTCTCTTAGAGGACAAAAGACATTCACTTACCTCAGTGTTACTGATAGTCTTTCCTCCGCAGAAGTCCTGCTCCTCCAGTTGGTATTTCTATACACGTAATTGAGGGTCCCACGAGACGTAAAAAAAAAGTTAATTAAAACTGGCCGAGCCCATACGATAATAGTTTAAAAAACGTGGGAGGATAATATTATGCTCTCAAAACTTCATGCAGTTTGGCAAAATGCCCTTTTAAAAACCCCTGACTGGTTGAACCCAAAACCGCTTTTTCCTTTTCTTCTTTTTTATGTGCAATCACAAGAGCACAGACAACAAGTACGTCGTGGAAGTCCATGGCGTCAAATGAGGAAGTCAGTAATGATGATAGCCTAATGTTGCCTGGCTGTTGCTTAGCTCAGTGCGCGCGGTGTAAAAAATAAGTTGCCCAGAGACAGCAAATGTTGCGCAACTAAATTTGCCCTGTGCACGCCCAGCCAAAGCAGAAATTGTAGAAGATTTGGTCGCTTTTAAGCACAAGTGGGCTATCCCGAAAAATGCTGTTATGAGAAATTCGAAGGTAAAGTTTTTGCTCTTTGGTCAGTTTCTTTAAAAGACAAGAAGAGTTTTCTCTTCTATAAAACCAAACAATTTAATATACACACCAATGAAACCAAACTGAATCTATCGGTAGAGCAATACCCACTTTTGGTGAAGGTCAAGATTTCCGGAAACCCCCAAAATCTGGGTTAGCCCGCTTGTCCTTAAAAGCGACCATTTACACCCCCCCCCCACACACACACACACACACACACACACACACACACACAAACACACACACACACACACACACACACACACACACACACAATAGGCACTGTTTAGGTCATCCAGAAGGCGCCTGATTCGACACTGTCATGTCAGAGTCAGAGCCAACCAGAGCGGAGGGGGATACAATGTCACAGCAGGTGGACGTGTCTGTGTGTGTTCGTGTTCGTGTGTGTGTGTTTGTGCGTGTGTGTGTGAGTGTGTGTGTGCGTGTGTGCGTGTGTATGTGGTGTGTGTGTGTGTGTGTG